TAACGCAATCTTTAAAACATTATATTTATCATGTAATCGAGTAAAATATGAATGATAATTATTATGACATTGTACAATAATATTTACAACATTAATATAAATTATTAAATATTGATCGTTTATTTAATTAATACATCGCACAATGTATTTAACGTGCAAGAAGGTATTTCGCGACAGGTCGATTTTTGAGTCAAAGTAACATGCATTTTATACTAGCTTTAATCTTTTAAAAAATTTACTTGGACGACAGAATCGACCAAGGATAATTGAATATTTTGAATAACTATTTAATGAATTCATTTCAATTTTTAAAGTAAATTATTAGTATTTTTCAATATTAACGTATTTTGTTATTGATATATTACATATAACAAGTCGAGTCATTTTAACTAAAAATTAAATACGAAATACCATTTAGCTATTAACCAGTTTTTCTAGTCAGGATTTTCAGACTAATTTTTCCGTGTTCGTTGCCTAAGTTCATGCACATGCCCAGGTGCTATTTGCATGAACGAAGGCAACGGGGCACGATGACTCTATTAATAACAATTCAACAACATATTGACGACTGACATTGGTTAGTGAAGCGTGCGCGACGTACTGTCCACATGTGTATGTTGTAGTTAGGTTGTGGAAGTGCGTCGTTTCAGATGTTGTTATAATTGTAATTTACATACAGAATTTTATAACATTAGATTTTTATCAATAATAATATCAAATTTCAATTTATCATTTATTTGAATACTTTTGATCTTAATGGATTTGAATCTTAATATTTTTCAATCTTCAATGATACATTTATGCAATAGATTTTATTAAAGACTATATTCCATATATTGAAACGTTCTATACAAATATTTATGTATACATATGTAGGATTAAAATTGTAATTTAATCACTTAGTCAGAACTCGCGAATTAACAAAACATGGAACAAGGAACTTTATTAACACCAGAACAAACACCAAACAAATAATATTCACTAAATCGTTACAATCGTAATCACAAAACCGTTATAATCGTAATGACCGTCACGTACAATCGTTTCGTCGTCGAATCGACCGGCAAAAGACCCCCTTGCCTTCTCGACGCGTCCTTTTTAACCCTTTCCCGTCCCAAACATCCGCCGATTCCATATCCGGAGAAGTTTCCAGAACATTCCCGTCGTTTCGCAACAACGTTCCGTTACCATACTTAATACATTCATACATTCATACATCCAATCATGCAATCGTTCAGGGTCGACACATTCACGCAATTCAATCCTTTCCCGAATGTTCTTAACATTTCCAAACATTCCATCTCTATGGCCAACGCACTCATACATTCAATCGTTCAATTAGAGTCGACACATTCAGATCACTCAGCCGTTCTTCACGATCGATACGAAACGACGGAAAACACTCGTCTCCTACACATATAATATAAGTATACAAAGATCACTAGCCCTTGTCAGTCCACCCCAGAAACTTGTACGCCCACAATTAGAGTGTGAATGAAGTCAGTTATGTCCGGGTGTCGGAAGAACCCCGGGGAGTCCTCTCTAGTTTAGGTCGCGCCCGGACATTGAGAATGAGAACCGTGGAGTGTTTGTTTGCTTGATTGAGTTTTGCAATTTTTTATATATAGGGTTAGGTAGGTAGGTAACTTCCTTTCTGGTATGTGTGCTAAATTTAAGTAGGTAGGATCAGGGCAGGGCTGCCACATTAGTTACTTGGGTAGGCGCGTTTTCGCGTTGCAGTTCTGTTCCTGTAGTTACGATTTCGAGGGTAGAAATCTTGCTGATTCAAATGGTGTATGCTGTTTGTTTCGGCTTTATTTTCGACTCCTTGAATCGCGCAACCCTTAAAGTCGCTCTCTCGCGCTCGCGGTCGTGATTAGGTCCCTTTCGAAACGTTCGTCCCGCTCGAGATTCACCACATATGCTCGACCAACAATTCGTATATTGTTGGAAGACTACGTATTGCACAATATCTCGAGCCCAGTCTTAAGTAAGTTTCGGGCATCGGCAGGACCGCCGAAGAGGCAGGCCCTGACAAACTGTTTCAAGAGTGGGCTGCAACAAATGGCTCTGCATCTTTATCTTCGGATGAGAATGGAAAGTCATTCCTGTTACTACTTTGTCACTTAACTCGTCTGTAGTTGTAGTTAGTTTATTTTTCTGGCTGGCTCACGTATGCATGTACTTTGTATATGATTGCACCATACATACCAGCCGTAAGGGCAACTCGCGGTTATGATATACATAGAGTTGCGAAATTCGCGTTTCCTTTTCAGGGTAGTGCTGCGCCTTGACACGATACGTGTTGCGTCGCAACGTCTCACAGCTTGATGGCATACCAATTTAGACCCAGGACAAGGGAAAACCCTGTAGCCGGTACGTGCCGATACAAGGCCACTATGGAACAATAGCGACATTTGGTCGCCGGAAACCTTTCCAAATTTCGAAAATAGTTTACAGCCTAGGCACCGTCATCCTTTGCAACGACCTCGACTTTCCTTTACCAAGACCACCCCTTCGTCCCGATCGTCTTCCACTTTCCTCCTACTTTCTTCTCCAAAATAACCATCCCACGACTTCTCCAACATTCAATTACAAAACTGTATCCGTCCACATCTTACCATCACTCAAAATCTCCAACACCAATCAGAACTCCTCCGACCTGTAATGTTAAGAAAAAAGAGTCATCCTGTTTAGTTCGTTCCAACCATCGAACACCGAAACCTACGAAAAAACGCTCCTCACAAATTACCGACTAGCTGTAGCTTATAGTTTCAACGTGATTCGGTTACAGTGTGTAACCGAACAGTGTATCACGATTCAGTGTAACAGTGATACACTGACCGAACGAACATCTACGACGTTCAACATTTTTGGTCCTTCGAGCCGGATCCTGTGCTTCGAGTGCTTGATCCATTAATATCATCCAACCAGCAGTCGGTGATTAGCCAACATTAAAGACGACGCCCACGATCCTGCGTACCTTTACGCAACTTAGAACGACAGCAGCAACTAGTGCTATTGTCGTACGCCACTTCGAGGAGCCAGTAGCCAAGACGAGGACAACCTGCCAGGAGCGCACATCGTCCTAGTGGAACAGACTCAACCACGAGGAAGCCATCCTAATCATCCTTGGAACATCAGGGAAGGCGTAGTCTCAACATCAGCATGAGTCTTGGCTGTACAGCATCCATCCGCAGCTAAGAGTATCTGTTAGGAACTTGGCGAGGTTTACGATACGGTCGCTTGTGAATACCGCTATTTTTGAGGATAGCTAATTTCAATTCGCTTGTTAATAGTTACAGCTAAACGAGGAGTCAGGGCCCTAAAGAATCATTACAAAATTGAAGCAATTAGGAAGGGCCCTGCTCCGTCGTCCTCAATAGCGATTGACGTGTCATAAACCTTACAACTAGTCGCGCGGTCGAGTAACGACCTTAGTACCTGGGCACGGTCCCCGGTCGGGTGTTAGGAATTTTCCATTTCCAGGGAGGTCTAGTTTGTACCCCGACTGGTGGGCGGCAACCTAGACTAGGCGGTTTTTGGAAATCCAACCCCCGACCAGGGACGTCGACCGATTGGTCAGGTCCTTTACGCCTCATCGGCAATTTTAGTATATAAGAAGAACATTGGAAGAGTTTAGTTAGATTAGCAACAGAATCATAGTTAGAAACGTTACTGTATTACTTATTGAATTCAATAAACACCAAATACACAACCATTAATTTCCTTCAAACGAAGGTGGTCCTTCGAGTTTGTATTAGTCGGCACACACGTGCAAACTCAACAATTTCCGAACGAGCAACACTCGACCACGGAAAGAACAGTATCAGCGCAACGTAAGTCTGCACACTTGGTATTAATCGTCAATTTCCGTTATCTATCCATCTCAATTATTTTCTCCTTGTAAATTCAAACCGAAAAACAATGGCGTCCGAAGACAATAGCAAACGCGAACGCGAATTGATTAGAAAACGCGCTGCGTTTAAAACCAAAGTGACCACGTTTGCACGGTCATTAGAATCATTTAGTGATATCACGCTAGGAGATGTAAATCATTTAAAAAATCGTCTCGAAAAACTAGAAGGTGATTATGAAGCCTTTAATCTCGTTCAAGATGAACTGGAAACAATCGCGTCAGACGATATGTTCGAAACTCGACTCGCGGAACGTGCCGCGTTCGACGAGAAACATCATAAAGTCGCTGTTGGATATTATATAGAAAACTAGTTTATCGATGAATTAGCACCGAAATCGCCACATCTCACGTCGGAATGTACGTATGTTTTTTTTGTTTTGTATTGCGACGAGGCATGCTTGGGCGAGGCCTACTCTGTCTCTAACTACACGTGTGTAAAGACCGCCATTAGTCGAGTATTATTAGCCAAGTGTGTCGATATTGTATTCGAAATATAGACAATTATTTGTGGCATTGATCCCTGTGCACTAAATAATCCAACAGTCGCTAGAAAGGTTCAAAACATTATCGCGATGTCAGATCAAGTGAACCAACCGCAGAGAGAGTAAGACAACCCATTGGTAACCTCACGCCCTAATATAGTAGCAAACCCGGTCGAAATAGCTTTGAGACCCTCATGGGCTGTCCCCTCAGAGGTACACGTAAAATTGCCGACAATGGACTTACCGAAATCTATTTACGATCCTGCCTCACAGGCAAAGCAGCCGAAAAAATAGAGTCATTATAGACTACCGCAGCCAATTATGTAGTTGCATGGGACCTGCTCGAAAGGTCATATAACGATCCAACCGCAATCATTTACAATCGGGTAAAGGCACTTTTTGAATTACCGACCTGCACAAGGGTCAGTGCAACGTCTGTAGGAGAGATATTGGATTGTGCTAGCAAACTCTATCGCGCTGTTCAGGCGACGAACCATCAATTTTTAGAAGCATTTCCAATTTACGCAGTCGTATCGAAATTAGATGTTCAAACGCGCTTACGTTGGAAGGAAAGAATTCAAGGGAACCCTTTCCCCACTATGGATGAATTATTAGAATTTTTGCGGGTACGTCACAAGGTACTAGAGAATTCACAGTTTGACCGGACTTTCGACAGATCGGATAGACCACAACCAAATAAACGCGCGATAGAGACCAATCGATCCACATTTGCTTGCCCAACGTCTAAACTAGCGTGCCATATACGTAAGGAACCACACTATACGTATCAATGCCCCAAACTAACTAAGGTAGCAGTAGAACAAAGATACGAAGTCGTAAAACAGTCAGGATTGTGCGGCAATTGTTTACGGCCTAATCACACGGCCAAACAATGCATCGTTGGTACCTGTAAGCAGTGTAAGGCAAAACAACATACACTGCTACGCAGAGAAACGAATACAAATCAGCAAACAGATCGAGCCAATGTAGTGTCGCTTACAACAACCACACCATTCGAAGTGATTCTATCCACCGCGATTGTAGAAGTCTTAGATAAAAACAATAAACCTCGACCGTGTCGAGTCTTGCTAGATTCTGGGTCGCAGTCTAACTTTTTAACCGAAAGCTTTGCAACAAAACTAGGACTAAAACGAGACCATATGGAAATTCCAGTAGTTGCTATTAACCAAACAATTTCACAAATACACCACATGGTGAAATCGCGTATCAAATCACGCATTAATACATTTAGCACCGAATTAGCATTTTTAATCTTGCCGCAAATTACAGAAATTCTACCGTCCCAAGCAATCCCAAAACAACAATTGCAGCTACCTGCTAACCTTCCGTTAACCGACCCAGCCTTCTGCAGACCCTCCGAAATAGATGGTTTACTAGGCGTCGAAATATTTTACAAATTATTGTGCGTAGGACAAATAGCCATAGCAAACAACCAATTAACACTACAAAAGACCAAACTTGGTTGGATAGTTGCAGGAAAATTAAATTCCTAACGTAATAGCAAGGCATCTATTTGTAACATTTCCTTACACCCATTGCAATCGCAATTAGACCGGTTTTGGGAAATAGAAGAAGGTCCGCATAAAAAGTTGTTGTCAGGCGAAGAATCAGCGTGTGAACAACACTATCAACAACATACTACGCGCGATCCAAGTTCAGGACAATATACAGTCCGATTACCATTCAAAGAAAATCCAACGTCACTAGACGACTCCCATTCCATAGCTCTTAGACGGTTTTATTCCTTAGAACCTAGCCTCGCGAAAAATCCTGAAAATAGAGTAAAATACACCGAATTTATGAAAGAATATCACCTTCTAGGTCACATGTCCAAATTAGACTCATCACGCGGTCGTAAAACAATCAAGTGTTACCACAAAGCTTCGCGTTGTGTTCGATGCATCGGCCAAAACTTCGAATGGAATATCGCTTAATCAAACGTTAATGACAGGGCCAACGATACGAGATGACTTGTATTCCATTCTACTTAGATTTCGATGTCACTCATATGTCCTCACCGCGGACATCGAAAAAATGTACCGACAGATAGTTGTGCACCCACAGGACCGCAAGTATCAAAGGATATTATGGCGCGACAATCCGCAAGCACCAATAGACACGTACGAGTTAAACACGGTTACGTATGGTACTTCCGCGGCCCCATTTTTAGCCATTCAGTCGTTGCAACAGTTAGCGAAGGGCGAGTCTAACTGCCTAGAGCCACAGCCGTATTGCGGGAAGATTTTTATGTCGATGACCTGCTGACAGGTACCCAAACGTTCGACGAAGCCGAAAGAATTCGTGATCAAATTATTACAATTTGCCGCAGGGGAGGACTGCAACTTAGACAATGGGCCTCGAATGACGAGAGGCTATTGTACCGATTAGACAAAACAGAAAACACACATATACGACTAGACTTAGACGAAACGGTAAAAACGCTAGGCATCTAATGGAACGCGAGACAAGACATTATAACATATACGGTTACAGACATGACACCGACGCAACGGATAATGAAACGCACCATCTTATCAAAAATCGCATCATTATTCGATCCGCTAGGGTTGTTAGGGCCTGTAGTTATACAAGCTAAATTACTTATGCAGAGTCTTTGGCAATTAAGGGTAGATTGGGACGAAACACTACCAGTAGATATACATACTCGTTGGATAGAATACTGCAAGGAATTTCAAGTACTACGCAACGTCCAGTTTGAACGACAAGTAACCATAAAGCACTATAGTTCCGCGCAAATACACGGTTTTTGCGATGCCAGTCAAGGGGCATATGGTGCATGCATATATATCTGTTCGAGTAGAGAAGACGGCACAATAATCACTAGATTACTCTGTTCGAAATCCCGTGTCGCGCCGCTAAAAACCATTAGTTTACCACGCCTTGAATTGTGCGCAGCTCACTTGCTTGCAAAACTGTACAAGTCAATCTTGATAACACTACCCAAATTAACGTTTGAAAAGGCCACGTTCTGGTCCGACTCTACAATTACACTACATTGGCTTAGAACACCACCGCATAAATTAAAAACCTTTGTTATGCATCGAGTAGCTGAGGTACAAGCTATTACCAACAATTACCACTGGCGTCACGTTCCATCCGAAAGCAATCCTGCAGACCTAATTTCTCGAGGCGTTAACCCAAGGGACATACAACAAAATAATCTGTGGCATTACGGTCCTATCTGGTTAACGTATTCCGAAGTCTCGTGGCCAAACTTGATCTTATTGTTAGAACCAATCGAGCTACCTGAAACGCGCCCTCTTATTACCTGCATAGTTCGAATCACTCATTGGGACGTACTCGCAAAATTCTCGTCCTTTCAACGCTTGAAACGAGTTTTCGCGTATTACCTTAGATTTGTAACCAATACCTCTCGTAGAGAAACCCTAAAGGGTCCGTTGTCTGCATGCGAACTTCAAATAGCCGAAATGCGAATCATAAAAACCGTTCAACGGGAAAAATTCGCAAAGGAAATTAATTCACTGTTATCGAAAACCCCAATCATGAATTCTTTGACACCATTAAACCCGTTTATCGACAAAGACGGGATATTACGAGTAGGTGGTAGGTTATCCCATGCAACGCTACCATATAATTCCAAACACCAGATCCTCGTACCGAAGAATCATTCGGTAACTAGAGCGATCGTATGTGATGAGCATTTGAGAAATTTCCACGCAGGTACGTCGGCTACCTTGAACTCCCTGCGACAAAAATACTGGATACCGAGCGGAAAACCCTTAGTAAAACAGATAATACACAAATGCATTACCTGTCACAAAGCCAAACCCGCGATACCAACCTATATAATGGGCAATTTACCGAAGGGTCGTCTTATTCAGGCAAGACCGTTTTTACATACAGGGATCGATTACTGTGGTCCATTCTTCATTAAAGAAAAGGTTAACAGAAATAAAAATAAAATAAAGGTATATTTAGCCATATTCGTTTGTCTCTCAACCAAGGCCATCCATATTGAAATCGTCAATGATTTAACCACCGAAGCATTTTTAGCGACTTTACATCGATTTTTCTCGAGAAGGGGTAAATGCTCCGATCTCTATTCGGACAACGCAACAGCGTTCATAGGCGCAAAGCGAGAAGTTAAAGAATTATACGCTATGATAGAAACACAATCCTACAATGACGCGATATCTGAAGCATTAGGTAATGACGGCATAAATTGGCATTTGATACCTCCACGTTCTCCACATTTTGGTGGATTGTGGGAAGCAGCAGTAAAATCCACCAAATATCACATACAGGGTGTCCCAGCTAAAGTGTGACAGTCGCGATACTGCAATAACTATTGATGATACGGAAAAATTGTTTATATGAAAATTGCAGGATAAAATAGGATCTTTATTCTGGCGTAAACGGAAATTTTATTTATGTTATTAATTTCAAAGATACGATGATGAAGTTTCGTTTTTTAAATGGAACTATATATTTTTTTTTGGATCATGCGATAGTGTTTTTCAAGACGAATTCATTAACCTGCAATTTATTTACCCGATTTTCATTAGTTTTCAAGATATAACGCTTGGAAATTTACTGATTTTCGGCGAAGACGTCTCGGCTTGAGTGGCAAGTCATAAAAGCGGCCCTATTGTTGCGCTGTTTGACTCCGCCTGTTGAAACCGATAACAAGGGTCTACGCTCGGAACGGCAGGCCCGAAGAGTCAGAAACATGAAAAGTATTGTCCATCACGATTTAAGTTTATCGCATCGAGGATGGTGATGTCGCTAATAATTTGGATGATTGGAACATTTATTTAAATGTTTTAGCTGAATTTTATTATACAACAAATTTATTCTACGTGTCTCCTGCTATTCGAAATACATGTTTCAATTTGTTTTACAAGTTTCTTTTCCACGTTTATTAGAATGTCCGTTGGAATATTTTCACACACAGCTTTAAGTCTGCAGTGCTTTGTAGCGGTGGTTTATAACTCTTGTTGTATGATGGAAAAACTTGGACCTTGCCAAACATAAATAATACATCTATTACATTTTACCGCTAATAAAAATTCCAACTTTCCCGAAAATACCTAATTAGACCCGCTGGTCTTTTATGAGTTTGCTGGTTTTTACTTTTGCAGGTAGTAAAGTCATACAGAGACTGGATTTGGAGGGCCATGCAGATTTTAAGTGATTTTACTAATTAAATAGCCGCCTTGGGGGCACTAGGTTGTAAGCAAAAGCCTTGACTGTTTATGAAGGGTGTGATTCTACATCCGCTGGTTTTATGAGTTTACTGTTCCGCTGCAATATATTGAAATACACTGTTTAATACGTTTTATGAGTTCTCTTATGAATCAATTTTATATTCCTTATCCTTGCGAATTTTTCATTCCCTTTAGTTTACTACTTCTTTAGACATTTCCAACCAATAGAAGAAGTTTCTTTGTTTCGAAAGAAACCAATCATATCTTCTGATAGATTCCTTCAAAAAGTGGAAAACAGTATTTGAATCAGAACTCGTCAGATCTTTGAACTGTGCAGTAGTCTTATATTCACTTTCGTTCATTCATTCAAAATGTCGTTTGGTGTTGAGGAGAAAATAGAGCTTGTGCGATTGAGAGGTGTTGGGCACGTCTTGTCATACCGGGAAGTGAGTGAAATTTTTCATCGACGGCATCCGAATCTACCAAAACCACATCCAATGATGGTAAAGCTTCCATTTTCACTTACTAAAACACTATTAGATATTGAATCTTTAATCCTTTCCTTGTTTATTGTATTGATAAAGCACGGTAATGAATCTAATAAAAAGACGATATGATACTTTTATTTGTTCTTGCATGATGTATAAACATAATAATGAAAGAATTATATATTCAGTGTTATACAGTTTTTCTTTAAAGTTATTTTTCGCACTCGTGCTTACATAAAATCACTCAATTTTCAGATAAAAAGAATATGTGACCGCTTTGAAATAATTGGTTTGCTACATGAGCGAGAGGTGACCAGGCGAAACACTATTTCTGGTGAAAGCCTTTCACATGAGGTGCATGTATTAGCAGTCATTAATCAAACCCCGACAGCATCACTTCGGGCATTATCAGTGAGCTGCGGGGTATCAAAATCCGCAGTTCATAGAATCCTCAAAAAACATAATATGAGGCCGTACAAGCCAATCAAAATACACAAATTATTCGACAGGGATTTCGAACCTCGATTGGAATTTGCGAGATGGGTTGCGGGAAATCTGGCGGAGGGCAGTAATTTCCTGAGATATTTATTACTAACCGATGAGTGTATATTTTCAACCAACGGGCAAATGTGCCATCAGAATGCCCAAATGTGGGCAACAAAAAATCCTCTTTGGAAAAAGGAAGTAAATCACCAATATCGAAGCTCGATTATGGTGTGGTGCGGTTTATTTAATCGAAAAATTTACGGGCCATATTATTTTGAAGGGTCCGTGACAGCCAATACGTATCTGGCGTTCTTAGAAAGTTATATTTCCAGCGTTTTGGACGACATACCACTTGCTGAGAGAAAAAATATATGGTTCCAACAGGATGGAGCTCCCCCACATTACGCATCATCTGTGCGGGCATGGTTAAATGAACACTTTCCACAAAGATGGATCGGCCGTGGTGGACCAATTTCTTGGCCACCGAGATCAGCAGACCTGTCATCATGTGATTTTTTTCTGTGGGGTTATATTAAACAACAAATTTACAAAACACCAGTACGAAGCACCGCAGATTTAAAAGAAAGAATTAAAACTGCATGTGAAAGTATTCCAAGGGATGTATTAATAAACGTGGAGAAAGAATTTATGAAACGCATAGAAATATGTATTTCAAATAGCGGGAGACATGTGGAATGAATTTTTTGTATAATAAAATATTTTCATAAATTAAAATTAAGTTATGTCTTTATACCTACCTTCAGCTAAAACATTTAAATGAATGTTCCAATCATCCAAATTATTAGCGACATCACCATCCTCGATGCGATAAACTTAAATCGTGATGGACAATACTTTTCATGTTTCTGACTCTTCGGGCCTGCCGTTCCGAGCGTAGACCCTTGCTATCGGTTTCAACAGGCGGAGTCAAACAGCGCAACAATAGGGCCGCTTTTATGACTTGCCACTCAAGCCGAGACGTCTTCGCCGAAAATCAGTAAATTTCCAAGCGTTATATCTTGAAAACTAATGAAAATCGGGTAAATAAATTGCAGGTTAATGAATTCGTCTTAAAAAACACTATCGCATGATCCAAAAAAAA